TCATATTATTCAATAGATTGTAATTTTTAATCGATTATATCATAATAATGATATTATCATCAAGGAAAAACAAAATTATTTTCTAATAATTAGCATAAGCGTTTCCTGGTTTTACTTAACAACTGCGATTGGAGCTTCCATTGTTCCCACGAAATCTCCCTTTAAATCTTCTATTCCTCTATTATATTATTGCTTCACGTTATAATATTTGGAAGACTTGGCAATGGGGCCATATAATTAAACACTTGGTGAGCATCTAAAGAATACAAGAATTGTCATTATTTTCTTCAATGATATCCTCAAGAGACTGTTCTTTTTTATTATTCAATTTCTTTTCTTTTTGGTGATGAATAAAAGAGAAGAAAGGGTAAATTTTGCTGAATAAAAAGCGGATAAAATTTGCATAACTTAAACTTATAAGCAGTATTTTGAGAGGAGTTTATCAAATATGCACCAAATAAAAAATATATATATATAGTAGTATAAAATAAAATAGCTTACAACCTTTCAAATCTTTTTGACAAATGACAATAGCTTTCAATTAACGGCAATTTGGTACCATTAACTAAACCCTAGTAATTAGTTAAATAACGTAAACAATCTCTAATAGAAAAATATTAAATCAAGTTTAATAATATTAATTAAAGTGATATTTAAAAAAATATAATTAATGTATTGTCAAATTGATGAAAATAATTAAAATATTTTCTCCAACCCAATAAAACAAAAAAAAAAAAAGAAAACAAACAAAGTTTCTCTTACCTTCTTTAGTTTTCAAAATCTTGGAAAAAAAATCCTTCTTGATTGATTATCAACTAGGATATAAAAATATTAACTTATTATTTTTTTATTGGATTATTGACTGTTAGTTTAAATAGAAAATAATTCTGTTTTAAAGGGTACCAAGTTTCCATTAATAGAAAATAACTGAATCGTGCTTAATAACATTGATTAAAGTGATATTTAAATAAAATATAATTAATGTCTTGTCAAATTGGTGAAAGCAATTAGAATCTTTTCTCGAATCCAATAAAGTAGGAAGAAAGAAAACAAACACTGTTTCTCTTTCTTTCATTAGTTTTCAAAGTCTTGTTCTTGGGAAGAAAAACCCATTTGCTGTCACCCCACCATCAACGCAAATAATTTGGCCCGTTATGTAAGAGGACGCTGGAAGGCATAGGAATGCTACCAAATGGGCAACCTCTTCCGGCTGTCCAGGGCGACCCAGTGGAGTTCGAAAGTTTAGAGCTTCCAAGAATTTATTGCTACTGAGAATCTGAAAAAAAAATAGGAAAAAGAATTCAATATCAGAGTACTTTCAGAATTTGTTAATTCATCGAGAGGAAACTATAATTCACAAAAAAAAAAAAAAAGAAGCATGCTGAAGAGATACTGGTTCAACAAGTGGGGTTCTGATGAACCAAGGTGCAACACAATTGCTCCTGATATTGTCTTTTGCCCACTCACATGCCAAATCCTTTGTCAATTGGTTCATTGCTCCTGTTTAAAAATATTGCATAAAATTTAATTACAGTTCTCCACCACAAAATTTTTAACACTATTAAAATTTAACATAATTACTCGGATCCGGAGTGAGTATGAGATACAAGTGGGTGTCCAAACACTGTTATGTTCAATCTTTTTTGTATATATGAAAGATCAAAATTTCATACCCATATCCGATAAATATGTGTTAGATATAAGTACATTCAGAAAAAAAAAAAAAAAACAGAGTTTGAGGAACATAAAAATTCAAAATAACTAAGATTTATATCATTTTCAAATAGGTACCTTTAGTTGACCCATAGATAGATCCAACATTGAGTGAGAGCACACCGGCAACAGAAGAAACAAAAACAATGCTTCCAGCTCCTGATGCTTTGAGAAGGGGATAAGCAAGTTGGCAGAAGTGGAAAGCCGATTCAAAATTGGTTCTTATCAGATTTGACAGTTCTTCACTTGTGAAATCGATGGTTGCTTTCCAAACGTTTGTCCCAACATTGTTTATCTATAACAATTTACACAAAAATTCTTCAAATGTTCGGCTCAACTCAATCATCTGCTCAGTTGAGGACTACATATCCTTTGAAAGTTTAAAAGAAACCAGATTCTATAATTTCAGCCATGTGACTACTCTGTTTTCTGATGAAAGTACAAAATAATTTTATTAATATCGTGATAAAATTGATGCTTCCTACCAAAGATAATGAAACTTACAAGAATGTTAAGTTTCCCACTGAACAGACAGGAAACTTTGTTCACCAGCCTTTGTCTTTCAGCTGGGGAGGTTACATCACAGACTGAACCAAGAACTTGTAAACCCTTCATCCTCCATTCTTTCAAGCACTCGTTCAGCTGATCTTCGTTGCGCGAGCATGTATAAACTGTTGCCCCAAGTACTGCCAATTCTTCCACAACAGCAAGCCTACAACACAATTTAACAACAAGAAATATATATATTGCAGAAATTAACAGAAACATTTTAAGTGAAAGAACAATCTCATGAACCATACAGAGAAGGGAAGTATAGTCCCCTCACCCGATTCCTTTGGTTCCACCAGTAACAGTAGCAAAATACGGTTATAAATATGTGAAGTTTCTACAGGGTTAGGTATGAGAAAAAGATGTAAGAGAGTTGTAAGATTTTGTGAGATAGACACCTCATAGGAGATTGGAGCTCTATGTCTTATGGATATGTATGTTTGTTTGTGAATGGACTAGAGAGACTGAGAGAGTCTACATAGATATGATGTATGGGAGCATATGAGTATGTGTTTGGTTATGTTGAAAGGGTGCATAAGGGTTTGAGTTTGTGTTTGTTTGTATTGTAATGCTTCATAGGACTAGAAGAGATTAAGAGTTTGTTATGGGTATTGATTGTTGAGTGAGATTGATGGTTTGATGTAAGTTTGTAATTCTCTATAACTAGTAGATCTTGTTTTTCATCCGTGGATATAGATCAGTTAGACCGTATCATATTAAATTATTGTCTCTTGTGTGTTTGATTTATTATTTAATTTTACTTTCGTTGATATGATTGAATTGGAAGTTTTTAGCTCAACATCGATTCTCTCAAGCCTTTTTTCTCAACCAAGCAAAATATACAACTGAGTTGCTTGAAAAGGAAAAAATGATTGATTGCAAGCCAATATCCACCCCTATGGTTGCTAAGCTTCGTACAGCTTCCGATTAACTATTTCAAGATGCTCATCATTATCGTAGCATTGTTGGTGGCTTACAATACTTGACATTTACTAGGCCAGACATCACCTATAGTGTCAATTATGTCTCACAATTCATGCATTCTCCCACAAAGTTTCACTTCCAGCTTGTTAAAAGAATTTTACGTTATGTCAAAGGAACTATTACATTTGGTATTCGACTTTTATCTGCTACTACACTTGAACTGTATGCTTTTTCTGATGCTGATTGGGCAGGCTGTCGACTTACTAGGCGATCAACTTTTGGATATTGTACTTTTCTTAGTGGAAATTGCATTACTCGGAGTTCAAAAAAACAACCTACGGTGGCTCGTTCTAGTGCAGAAGCAGAATATCGCGCTTTAGCCTGCACTAGCGCTGAACTTGGATTTCTTTTATTCTTCGAGATACTGGTCTTTACATGCAACAACCAGCAACACTCTTGTGTGACAATATGTCAGCGCTTCATATGACTATTAATCCTGTCTTTCATGCTCGGAGGAAACATATTGAGATTGATAATCACTTTCTACGTGAGAAGGTGGCATTAGGCTCTCTTGTAACCCGGTTTGTTTCTTCAAGCAAGCAAGTAGCAGACATTTTTACTAAGCCTTTCTCTCGAGCCTCTTTCGAGGATTTGTGAGTCCAACTTGGACTATGGAGTCTTCCCGTGTCCAATTTGAGGGGGAGTGTAAAAAGAGATACTCCCATCATCTCTGCCCCAATTAACTCAAATAATAAAGTGTGGAAGGAGGAAACAGAGCATAATATTCAACAAACAATCAAGACAAACAGTAGCCAAAGATGGAGCTCTCATGTCCAACGGTCAACAAAATAAATGGAGCAATAGTAGCCTAAAGGTCCTCAGGACAGATTTCACATCCCTTGATTATTGTAAACTCACATATATTATATTTAATTCTTTATCATAGTTTCCAATTCTATCAAGGAAACTAACATTTGTGTTGTAGTATATTTTCTATATAAAGGAATGACAAGTTTTTAAGGACTCACAAAAAACTCAGTGAGATCCTATAGTTCTTTCTTCTTCTTAAAATTCATCATTTGCAAGAGAGGTTTCTCCAATGCACAAGCTCCGGAAGGCCACATGATTATTCATCGTAGAGACAAAGCCAAGTCCAAAAAAGCTTCACCAACTGAAGCTATTCAACAATCTTTGGACATCCCTATGATTATCCCCTCGTATTCTCCGAATCATCTCCGAATCATCCGAGCTCCATAACACGGCCTATAGCGGATTCTAGGTCTAGTCCAGAAAGAAACAGCCCCGGAGAGTGGCCTATCTTATCCAAAGTGGATCCAAAGTGGCACGAGGTTTATCGTCACAGGATTCAATTTTTCAACCATGATTTATTGGACAAGTGATCTGTTTCTTGCGTGTGACATGGCACCAAGTTTCTGGTTTGGTTAGGTTTTCCTTTCCTAATCAGATTTCTTCCAGCATGTCAAATTTTAGAATTACTTTGTGTCTGGCGTTTAATGTTAATCCTTCTCATATTCTATTCTATGAAACTGGAATGGTCACTTTCTGAGCTCAGACAGCATCATCATGTTGCCCTAAAAATGGTGGAACATGTGAACAGCTGAATGATCTCTTTCAACTTTTAAGGAGCAGATACAGTCTGGGTTCCCCCTCCATTGGCCCCATCAAAGAACGATGAGGCACCGACTTAGCTCAAAATCATCAAGGATTCTTTTGATTTGTTAAAGAAGTAATATATTTTAATTTAATTCTACTTTTTCATTATTTGAAGCAAAGCCTAAGGTATAAGATTTTATATGGTTAAATAAGTAATATATTTTAATTTAATTAAATAAAAATTTACTCACAGTATATAAAAAAGTGCTATTATTATTACCAAAGTTTGGGCTTATAAGTGGGCTTGACTAGCTTCCAAGGCTCGAGCCATAGCCCATCTTGGCCCAGTCCATGAAACCTTTACATTACAAAACTACAATTTTGGGTTGGGACGTGGGAACAGATGTGTTTTCAGTGTTGGGAAGAAGACGCCGTTCAATGTCATCCCTCCATCAACATAAATAATCTGCCCTGTTATATAAGAAGCTGCAGGTAAACACAGGAATGCCACCATCGCCGACACTTCCTTTGGCTCTCCAGTGCGTCCCATCGGAGTTAGATTGATGACAGCCTCAATTGATTTTTCATCTTGAAAAACCTGCAATTTAAGGAGAATGAAAACATGAATGTTATAACAGTATTCATGATGGCTAAGCCCAATTATGATCATGCTGAACGCTGTTAACGAAAATTTTTACGCTTTCACTGAGGCGAGTTCTGATCACCCATGGTGCAACAACATTAACCCGAATATTATCTCCAGCCCATTCACATGCCAAGACTTTTGCAAGCTGGTTCATGGCCCCTGAAACAAAATGGTATAAGATTTTTGTTTTTTGGGGTAAGCGCTAATGTCAATCTTCAATATACTTGAAGTAACGTTACCTTTTGTTGCTCCGTATATAGACGCAAATCTTACTGGAGTTAGGCCACCAACCGAAGAGAGAAACACAATGCTTCCTGCTTCTGAAGCTTTCAAAAGAGGATGTGCAAGTAGGCTCACGTAATGAGCTGACTCATAATTGGTACTCATAAGAAATGAAAATTCTTCCGCTGTGTACTCCGAAACCAGTTTCACAACATTCGTCCCAACATTGTTTATCTGCAGTACCAACGATTATCAGAAACATGAATTTCACATTACCTAAGTCGATGTTGGTTACCAAGATGTTAAGTTTCCCCTCAAATTCAGAGGAGACTGTGTTCAGTAGCTTCTCCCTTTGGGCCTGAGATGAAACATCACAGACCGAACCTGTAACTTGGAAACCCCTTGCTTTCCATTCACGTAAGCATTTGTTGAGGTCAGTTTCAGTTCGGGAGCATGTATGTACTCTAGCTCCTAGTCCTGCCAATTCCTCTACGATAGCATGCCTAATTGCAGTAATTGGTGTCAAATTTGGAAAAGTACAAAATCTTTTTCTAATATTAGATTATCAAATTTGCAAAAGCAGATGGTAACAAGTTGCAGATAATTAATTGAAGGCCAAAAAAGAAAGAGAGAGGAAAAATTACCCGATTCCTTTGGTTCCACCAGTAACAAGTGCAGTCATGCCTTGAAGACTCCATCTGTTAGAGTTATCTGCTTGAGCCATATTCTCACTTCTCTGCCTCAGCCTCTCTCTCTCTCTGTCTGCTGCCATTTACAGATATTTTGTGTATGTGGATGATATATTCCTCCCCATATAGGCCATTGGTGACTAATGTTTATCCGATACGAAATCATTGTGGCAATGGACAGAACCTGACTAGTCCTACCACATATATAGCCAGTGGTGGAGCGACGTTGGAACCAGAGGGCGCATACCCCAAGATTTTTCAAGCCCTCTACATGTACATAAGGTATATAATGTACAAGTATTCCTTTTAAGAAGTAGAAGTGACCCCTCTAAAAAAATTTTAAATTTTTTTTTTGTGATTATAAATATTTAGAATCTCAAGATTTATGTTCAAGTTTTATTATATATGAATTTATTTCAAATTTATATTAGATTTATTTAGTTATACTCGAATTTATTAATCAATTTATTTATTTAATTATTCAGTTATATAATATTTGATTATGATTATAATTTATATTTGTAATTTAAAAAAATTTAAGACAAAAAATTCAAATCTCAAAGTTCAATTCATTTGTAAAAGTATTAAAACTTATAGTTTAGTTCTTATTAACAAATTAAAAATAAATGTATTATTTAAATATGACTCATATTAAAATGTCAAAACTATTCAAAAAAATTTAACAAAAAAAAAAAAAGGTGAGTTAATAGATCAAAAAGAGGCACAAATATTATTTCCTAAAAGTCTAAACCCACTATCAAGTCTTATTCTTTAAAAGCTTAAACCAACACAAAATCGTTGTAGTTACTATAAAAGGTCTATTCTTATTTTCTCAAAGAGTTAATTACAAGGATGGTACAAAAGATAATTAAAACTTCTTCCATAATAAGATCATTTCATCTTTATCTTTTGATTTTTAAATCATTAATAGTAAATTATAAGTTTTTTTGAATTTTAAATAAAAAATTATTAATATTTATAAAAAAAAATCTTAATTTTATTCTCTAAACTAAGAGAAAATTTGTTAAAACTTTCCAATTTAATAATTTTCACATTTTTAAATAAAATTATTTGAGTTTCTTTTATTTTTAATAGTTATATATTTTTTATTTCAATATTTGAATTTTTCATATATCTTATCTATGATTATATTATGAAATATCATACTTTACCTAAAATTTTTATAACTTTTAATCAAATAATGACATATTATATGCTAAATAAAAATTTTAAAATTATAGTTATTATTTAATTTGATCCCATGACTTAAAATCTTGAATTCCCCGCCATTGTATATAATTGCATGCAAAAATATTTTACTCTCAAAATTCTTTATCATTCTCACGAGGACTTTTAAACCATTACTCCATGTGTCAATATTTTCTTTAAATCATGAGATATATTTATGCTTTGTTAAGTCAGTTGATTATTATTAAAATAATTAATGAACCTACCGAAATAAATACTAATCATTATATACTTTCTTAAATGTACAATAAATAATTTGATTTTTGTATGACCCGACAATGTGGGCATTTTGTATCTTAGTGGGTGCCCATGCAAATGCAAAATAATCAATCAATTATATAAGAGACAGTAATTTAATGTGATTCGATCCAATCGATTTATATTTATGGATGAGAAATAAGATCCATTAGTTGTAGAGAATTACAAATACATAAAAAATCAATCTCACTCATAACCAATACTCATAAACACTTTTAATTTCTTCTATTCTTATGGAGTATTTTCAATCCAAACAAACTCATACCCATATACACCCATGCATCATACTTATGTGGACCATTTCAGTCTCTTCTAGTTCACTCACATGCATCATAACTATGTGGACCCTCTTAATCTCCTCTAGTCCACTCACAAACATTTAATCATACACACTCATAACAAGTAAATCTTCAGTACTCTTATGGGGTGTCTATCTTATAAAATTTTATAATTCTCTTACATTTTTTTCTCATACCTAATCATGTGGAGACTTTACATCTTTATAACCATACAAACTTGCCTATCACGAATTTTTTTCCTCTTAAAATTTTTTTTCTACAAGTCTTTTTGTCCATAAGTAATATCTAGCCAATTCCAAACAAATATGTTATGAGATTTGAATCACTATTCTTAATAGTCCCATCGGAGTTTGAGAAATGATAGCTTCCAAGAAATTCTCAATGAACTACAAGAAAAAGAATGAAACAAACAATAACTAAGATATTCTAACCCAAGGAAAACAATTACTTGCAACATTAAAAGTATTATACAGTTTGGGGAACAGAATTGCATGCTCTAATGCATTGTAATCTTTGCAATTTATTTATGGAATCTTGCCATAGTAGTCCTAAATATATATTTTTTAATTATCTGAAAATATAAACAATCAATATTCTCTTTAAATATCCTTGTTGATCATTGATTTGAATGGTATCATGCTGATATAAACATAAAGAGAGTAAACATGGTGAAAAAAATATTTTTACATATTCTGTAAGAGGAGTTCGGATGAACCAAGGTGCAACAGAGTTAACCTTATATTGTCCTTTGCCCACTCACATTCCAAGTATTTTGCAAGTTGGTTCATGGCTCTTGAAAACAATGGAACTAATCATATCTCAATTCAATCTTCAAAGATAAAATCACTCAAGTATGCATGCAGTAGAGGTTTTATTTGGCTAGAACAAAAGAATACTATACCTTTTGTTGCTCCATATATAGATCCAACATTTAGTGATACCACATTAGCAACTGAAGACAGAAACAATGTTTCTAGCCCTAGAAGCTTTCAAAAGAGGATATGCAAGTTGGTAGAAATTGTAAGTAGACTCAAAATTGGTCCCCATGAGAAATGAGAAATCTTCATTTGTCACTTTTGAAGTCAACTTCAAGAAATGTAATATTAGTCATGCAATAATATATAATATCATATCATGCAATAAATATAAAATTATGCAACAATAATAAATAAATAAATAACTATGCAAATAAATATATTAATAATCATATAATCACATAAATAAAAAAATTAATAATCATGTAATTAAATATATAATCATGCAATTAACAATGTAAATCATGCAGATAAACATGTAATTAAATATATAAACCATGCAAGTAAATATACAATTAAATATATAATCATGCAATCATAGAAATAAATAAATTAATAATCATGCAATTAGACAAGCAATTAAATATATAATCATGCAAATAATATTATTAATAATCATACAAATAAACATGTAACTAAATATGTAAGTATGCAACAAAAATATATATATACCATGCAAATAAATATGCAATTAAATATATAATCATGCCAATAGTAATATATTAATCATGCAAATAAACATGCAATTAAATATATAATCATGCAACTAATAATACATAAATCATGCAAATAATAATATATAAATCATGCAATCATGTAACTAATAATATATAAACCATGCAACATATGCAATTAAATATATAAAAGTTATGCAAAAATCATAAAAAAAAAAAAGAAAGCAAACATTACTTTAATGGATCACAGGTTCCAACAATTTTTCACCTTTCAAAAACTGATATTTCTTACTACAAATCTTAGCTTTTCTTCTAAAAACTCCAACTGGATCTTCTTGGAAAATTTTTTTGCTTGATTGCTTATTCCTTATTAGTTCAAAACTTTGCCCAAATTTTCTCTATTTTCGATAATCTTTATTTGATCTTGAAGTTAATTGCTATGAGGCCCTCTTTTGATTTTTGATTCAAGGTCCTTATATAGGGATTAAATCTCTTTCGATTTGGAAGAAATTAATTCAACCAAATTAAGATTTCTCTCTAAATTTTATTCTCTGTGTAATATCCCTTTTATCAATAAATTGAGCCCCAAGTCTTTTCAAAATTATTCAACCATTAAAGTTAAAAATCTGATGTATAATCCAAGAGTTGAATTGAATATAAGATTTTTCATGCAAAATCCCATTTTTTTCCTTTTTATTTTTACCCTTTTTAAAATTTTTTTTTATTAATAGACTTTGACTCTTTTGACAAAAAAAAATTAAACCAAAAATTAAACTAAAAAAATTAAAATACAAATAAAATTTAGGGCATAATCTTTGAGCCCAAAATTAACTTTCCCAATTAAGGCCTAATTACACAATCAAAATTAAAATTTGAAACCCAATGAATTTCAAAAATCCGCAAACAAAATAAGATGTTTACGGTTGCCCTTTTTTATGCATTTTTTGTGAAATAGGAATTGTACAAAGACAAAAGGCATCCATTTTGTCTGAGTTTAGAAAAATCTAAAAAGAAAATTGCAAAAGCTCTTCCTCAAAGGTTTGAAACTTTTTTTTTTTTTTTGAAAAATACTCCCCTACAACTGAGGTTTTGAAACTTTAAATAAAAGTACCCCTTTAACTTTGAGAAAATAAAGTACTCCTTCACCGAGATTTCAACTTTGAAAAATAAAGAACTTCTCCACCGAAGCTTTAACTTTGAAAAATAAAGTACTCCTCCATCGAGGCTTCAACTTTGAAAAAATAAAAAACTCATCCACTGAGGCTTTAACTTTGAACTTTTGAAAAATAAAATGCTACCCCACAACTGAGACTTTAAAACTTTAAAAAATAAAATGCTCCCCCATAATTGAGGATTTGAAACTTTGAAAAAATAAAATGAAATCATTTTTACCTTCAAAAAAGCTCTTCCCTGATAGAGGTATTGAAACTTTAAAAAATTCTACCTAAAATTAAGTTTCTGCATCTTTTCTGAATCATCATTGACTATCTTCCAATGTCTCTTCTCGAAATTATTTCCTCATCTAGTTTTTCTTTTTTGCTTTCCAAACATATGTAATGAATACATGCAATGAATGAAAAGACTTTTCACAATTCTCAAATTCAATTTCAAGATTCAAACTTTAATTTTTCTTTCTTTCAAACATGCATGATGCATGAGATAAATATGATAAATGTAATGTATGCAAACAATGAATGCATGAGCTAAAGATTTTTCAAAATTCTATCATAATTTCACAAGCTAAACTTTGATCTTTCTTTTCTAAACATGAAGTGCATGAGTGCAATAAATGCCATGATATATGCAACATGTAATGAAAGTAGTGAATACAACGCCATTTCTTTTCATAACAGGCATTTATTTGTTCATCATTATTTCAATTTAATGCCAAATG